CCCCCCCCCCCCCCCTCGCCCTCGCTTCACATAATCTTTTAAAGAAACAACTCATCACAAAATAATTGACAGCAAACACCAGCGCTGCCAGTATGTGAATATGCATTTTTGCGAGATTTATTACATCAGTAAGGTGCAGCAACAGTTCCCACTGCTTCACAGTCTGATAATGTGCACTCATGGTGGGAAGATGCTTTTATTGGTTTTTTCTTTTGCACTCGGAGGAGCTGAAGAGGAAGGGAGTTATCGTCTGGTCTGTAGGTACTGCACTGCGAGGCCTCGTGAAATTTCAGCTTTCCAACATGTCTGATTATCATGGGAGGATAAAGTTCACAGTTTTGCAAGCGGAGCTTTGATGTATTCTGATGCTAAACTTGGATGTAACTGAAGCTCATATTGGCCAGCACGTGCACAGCTTATATCCAAGTAAAAGTACATCGGTCTATTTAGTACGGTTCTCGAGTTAGAGAAATGCCAACAGTAATGCCGAACCCATAAACAAAGCGTAGCTGTACATAAAGGCTAGCTCTCTTTTTAAATGTTTAACTTATAAAAAAAATCCTGTATTTCTAAAGTCAGATGCAGTGTTTTTTATAACGATTTTCAGATGCGATCTTGTTGGACATTTTGTTCTGAGCGCCAGAAGTGAGGAAATGGAAGAGCTGCTCTCTAAAAGTCAGCAAACACTACCACAAGCTTTTTTGTCGCGAGCAGATAAGCCTTCATTGCATGAGCCAGTCAAGCTGCTGGATGCTCGTGTAGTTCCGAACGGACCCAGAAAACATCAAATGGCAGTTTGCGTGTTGCGATCATTTCTCCTGGTTGACTGGACAAGTTTGGCGCAATTTTTTGAGGTATGCACAGAAAAGTAACACAGTGGCACGCGCGGTCGATAAACCAAGAAGCAGACTTTTTATACTTTTACAGTCACAAACCGGGATACAGGAGAGGAAAAAAAATAAGGCTTGCCAGTACAACCAAAAGTTTTTTACACGGATGTGATGTTCGTTGCTAAGCAGCATTGTTTTTGGGCAGATATTTCTTCTATAAGAACCAGCACTTCGACAGCTTGACGTTCTGAAGTCAGTAATAGTTCTATCATATGCTTTCACCACATAATTATTGTATTTTAGATCTATAGGGCTCAAGGTGTAACGAAATTTTACCTCTATATACAGTCCATGTCACCAGAAGTGGATGCTTTCTTGAAACTTTATCAGAAGTCCGACGATCTTGATCTCGAGCTTATCAGTTGGGGGCCACTACCGAAAACTGCGAGTACGAGCGAAAACGATCCCAACCTTCAAATCGACCGAGGCGAGGTATCTTGTGTGTAAAATTTTCAGCTTTGAAGCACAGCGAAGATTTTGGTTCCCCACACCTTCAAATTTGTTAAAATACGGAAATCCAAAAATCTTGAGATTTTCGTGAGCTTGAAGCAGGCCAATTGTAGTCGCAAATTCATGTTTTGGATAAATCTGTAGATAAGTGAGAAATGGCTTTTTCGAGAGAAAAAAATCTGCGGATAACGAATAATTAATAGTAATTTAAGCCAAAGACAGCTCATAATTGACCTAAAAAAGACAGCAAATGAGGTAGGAGCTTCAATCTCAGCCTAGACTGACACAGAAAATCAGTCATCCATAAATTTTTTGCTGCAGCTTGCCCTTTCGATGAACGACTGCGTACTCCGTTCTCGTGGCATTGCCAAATATACGATTTGGTCCGATTTTGATGAAATTGTTGTTGTTTTAAATAATTTAACATTATTTGAAATGATTGAAAAGCAGCGTGCCTCGTCCAACAAATCGGGATCATATGTAATTCCAGGCAGTTTTGCTCACTACGAGGTTATTTTTTCCCATTGCATGGAGCACATCAAAAGATCAAACTGAACAAGATCAGACTGCAGCTGCTTGACTAACAGTGGTCAGCAAATTTGTAGCGATTTATAGCGATTGTAATGATTATAGCGATTTTTAGCGACATAAAAAGCTCAAAAAGCTCAAATTCAGACTTAATGATCAGATAACATAGCGAACACAATAGTGATAAAATAAAATTTGATTTATGAATAGCTGCAAGCCATTTTTTGAGGAGCGAATGAGACGAAGAAAAAAGTTAATAAATGATGTGCCAAGAATAACAGCAGCTTGGTTTTAGTATTAGCGATTTTACTGGAACGCCTTTACATGCCGGACGCTGTCGCGAAATAAATACGTGAAGCTGCAAGAAACATACGCTATGCGTGGTTGCAGCGTCAAATGGTGTAAGCTAGTATAAAGCAGGCGACCGTACAGATTATAGGTACTCCAGAAGTGTGCGAAGGCAGTGGTGTAGTGGATAGGGCGCCATTTCCGGATGTAGGAATGGATGGTTCGATTCCCTGTTTCAGTTCTATTCAACCCCCTGCCTGTAACTATTTTCAAAACTTCTCCGTCCGAGACATGCGCAAATGCGCCGTTAAAGTACTTTCCTTATGCTTTACTTTATGTAAGTATAGAATATATAAGAAAAGTGGCAAAGATAAAAATAAATCTGAAAGGAAATGTTTCAGTAAGGTTTTACTGTCACCATTAAAAAAGTGTTCTCTTTTCAAGTCTAATTCTTTGCTGCTATCATACTGATAGCCTTTTGATACTGTACTGCTAGTGAACAAATGGAGTTTCGCACTGTTCTTTTCCGAAAATCTCTGGCAGTGAGTCTCGTTACTGAAATGAATCAACTATATCCATCCAGCAAAAAAATCCCTCGTTCTGCCAATATTGTTCACTTCAGCATCAATGGGATAATATAACCAATCCCATGGATATTGATTTTAACATTTTTGCTAACATTTCTGTTGAGACCCATATCTACGAACATTGCTCACGATCCAAGGTAAATTCACTTTTCTGGAATTTATAAATTATGAAGCAGAGCTGCAATTAAGCTCAATTGTGCTTTCTTGCATGTTTTTGGGTAACAGTAAAACTCTACTGCTGCTCAAAATGCTCATTTTCGCAGATGATGTTGAAAACACATAAGTGCTGCAATTGTTAAATGAACTTGTGGCCGTTACTTATCCACTTCTGATTTGGCCTTCTAATGGCCGTTACTTATCATTATGATTAATGATTAATGAGAGGGGATCTCAACTTGAAATATCTGGGAAAACTATCAGATAAATGGAGGGCTGTTTCTCCTAACTGGTCACGAACTCGGGAATCAGCTTGCTAGACAGTTGCAGCAGACAAGAAGCTGAGCTTTGAAGCTAATCAAAAGGAAGAAAGAAGGACTGATAGAATAGCGGGATCGAAGGCAGGATTTTGTTTCAGCCTTCGTTTTCATATTTGCAGGTTATTGCAATGCCGGAGCATATTTATTCACTGCATGTACATTGCACAGAACAAGCTGAATATGACAGAGAAACGAATACTTTTGTACCCGCTGACACCGCACGGCTCCTTCATCTCAGGTCTGCTTTCCAATAGCCTCTTTAAGTAGCATATTTTCTTGATGTTGTATACATATTCTTTATAACAGAAAATTGGACTCTCTACTTTTCAAATTGTACCAGAGAAATCACAATTTGGTTTTAAGAAAGTCGAAACATGTTTTTTGTACGTTCTTGCATACTCACGCGGTTACAGAAACGCACAATGGCGAGAGGCTCTCGGTGTAGACCTGTGTATGTGTGTGTGTGCAGGTGTGTGCAAATGTGTGTATGTGTGTTCGCATTTTGTCATCCAATTTCAAATAGTGAAGCCAAGAAGCTAAAAATTTCGGAGCTTTTTCCCATCTCATGTGGAATCTCTCAATTTAACATTATCATTCAAGTACGCTTGAGTTTCATGTACGGAGCAGATGATTGTTCTTGGCACTTATTACCTTCGTATTACTTTGCCTTTATAGAGAATGGGTACAGCGGGAATTTTGATTTTAATCTCAGCCGCTCTTCTGCAAATACTTAGCGCACACAACTAGACTGCGACGACTGGTTAGATTCGCTTTCTGTTCCTCTTAGCTACTGATTTTGCAAGGTGCGAGAGCCTGAAATGTCAGTGCATCTGCACACAGATCCTCACATGCCAGTTTTCGATGTTCATTCCAACTCAGGCGTGTTGGTGGCTTCCACGAATCGTGGTCAAAAAGAAGTTTTGTTTTCACCAATGCGCTAGCTAGATACGTGGACCAGTGCAATAAATCGTGGAGAAATCGGATCAAAAAAATTTGGCAGATTCCAGAAGCGAAAATTTTGCAAAGCGATCGATGGCCCAATCGCGGAATGCAGGTTAATTATATTCTTTGATCACCTACTGCTAGAGCCAGCAGTGACGGACCAAAGCTGATGGCGGTTTTCCCAGGGCTGCAAACTAGATCTTGTAGTTTTTCAAAAAGTATAATTTATTAGCATTTTCATTCCGTGCACGGGAACAAGGCGACAGGAAGAAGGATGCTCAAGTTATTTCTTTGTGACGTTATAAAACCCAGACTGCGATGCGCCAGGTTGATGCGATCATACGTTTTTGCGCTAAACTTGCAGCAGTCAGATCGCTAAGAACATAAGCCAGATAATAACCATAATTGCTTAAAAACCAGGATAGCCCTTAAACAAAAAGCCCCTTAACCATTATCCGATTTTGCATACTTTCACAAATGCCGAAATGTTGCACACTGGTACGGCGATCTGAGGTTGCAAAGTCGACAACAACCTCTATTTATGGTGTTTATATATGCTTGGAACAGAGCTTTTACTACGCTCCATAATTCAACACTGCCATCTCTGCCGACGTTTCTTTCGCCTTACATGTAAGAAGGGACCGAAAAAGGTTCTCCCCTTCAGATGCTCAATATACAGCAACGACTTGCAAAAGGCAGCTGCTAAAATTCGCCTTGGCCCGGTTCGCCTTCGATATATTATGGAATTTTGGTGCAGTACGCGCCCGTTTCCACAGCAATGAGGCATCACAGTTATTATGGGTGTTCGCGTTTCCCACGCCTTAAGGCCTTTCTGGTTTTGATTTCTCCTAAGTTTTCAGACACTGAACGATATAGAGCAATGTTGGATTAGGGATTATTCACGACGAGAGGATAAATGTCCTGCATCGCATCGCTGTATTCCGGAAATCACTGCCGTTAATGCAAGCGAGTGGATTATGCCACTGTCGACTTGGGTCATTTTGTAATCTATTTTTATGCGTTTTTGCTATAGCCAGCAAAAACGTATATTGTCGAGAGGTTGTCTGTGTCTATGTGTGTTCGGAAAGCGGGTGCATTTTGTCACCCAATTTCATCTCAGCAGTCAGGAAAGTTGGAAGGCTGAAACTTCGGGTATATGTTCCTACCCCGTGTGTCATCCTCCCGTTTTAGATCTTTCCCCATACGCCCTAAACCCCGCGTACGGGAGCCTCAAAGAAATATGTTGGCGGGAAACGATTTCGCGAACCAGGCAATGTAGAAGGCTGAAACTCTGCAAGGATATTCTCTATGCGCGTGCAAGATAAAGAATTTAAACTCAGCCCTCTAGCTCCCCAACCACAGCCTCAAGCAGCTCCTGGCCCCAAAAATCGTCAGCAACTCGAACCTGAACCGCAATTATACATGCAAATGAACGTGCATTTTTAGCAATTCGGACCTGAACCGCAATTGTATATGCAAATGAACATGGATTTTTTGAAAAACGATCGTTCGAGCA